CTTTTAGTATTCTGAAATCAACGAAATATCCTTAAGGCTCTAGCGATAACCAATGCAATAGGGTAGATGTGGTGACAAGAGTAGTTCATAGCCAATTTTTTTTATTCTCTCGAGGTGGACCCAGTATAGCAACTGGTAGTTGAGGATTGTAGTGAGTGGTCTAAGAAATATTTTTCTCTACTTATAAAGTGGACATGATTACTAATGCTAAGCTCTTAATTTCATCCATAGAAGAAGCCCCAGTTAAAAGTGAAAATTCTTCTTAAGCACCTCAAGTACGTGTCTCTAAGAGAATTTTTTGCTTGGCCCCTCATGATTTCTACCAAGTCGAGTGAATTATAAGAGAAAAAGTTGATGAGAGCCTTAGATCAAGTGTTTTTAGGAGTTATCATTTGAGTTGACCCCTATCATATCCTTTGGAAGACTACTAAATATGTTAGAAGAGAGATTACAAAAAATTCTGAACAAAGGTGTAGAAAAAATACATGTATTCAGAAAGATCCGAGGTTAGGACTACGAGTTGATGACTTAGGCAATCCTCAGGGAAAATTAAAATTTTCGAAGATTGATTAGTGATTATTGAAAAGTGCAATTTAATCTTGTAGAAACACCTTAATTAATTTGGTTGGGTTAAGAATATTAAACAAAACATTACTTGGGAGGCAACCTAAGTGTTATCATTTGATTTGAATGTGTTTCATGTTGTTTGCTTTGAATTTACTTTATGTCTACTTTTGATTTGAAGGTTGTCATATTAGTTTTATTTAATGAGCTCACCAGGGCAGGTTGCACTGCACTCTATCGATCTTTCTGTGATTTTATTTTGCTTTGATGTGTCTCCTATGTTAACTTAATGTTTTACTAGCATTAGAAATGTTGATATGGACATTTACCATTTTTGTTAACCAGAAATGATATGTTGTGTCATGTGTCGTATTCTTTCTTCATTCTTATTAGTTTTCTTGTGACATGAATAAGATAGAAAATAAGTCTGAGAGAGAGAGAGAGAGAGTGATACATGAATACTTGCCTGAAATTAATTTTCATATATAAGCTATAGAATTAAAATTAGAGTATTTACTTGAGATAAGAATCTTAGTGATTTGATAAGCTTAAATATAGCTTCTTGCAAACTGTGAATGTTATTAAAAGGAGGGATTATGCTTATTGTCCTGGTAATTTAGCCATTCATTTTAACTACTTTGAACTAAATCATAAAAAGTCTCATAACAATTAAAAATGTGTAATTAAAAATAGAAATAATTAACCAGAGATAATTAAGCCTTTAAACATTCAGCTTAAATAATCTACTTGAATCTTACTTTTAGAGGAATGATAATATTTTAGAAATTAAATTAAGATGTATTTGAGAATTATTAATTAGGAAATATTAGACATTTAAAACTCTTTGAAAATATATATGTTTAACCAAATATAGTAATTTTTAATGAAATTAAATAATTTTTGAATGGGCATAAAAGAAAAAATGAAAAAAAAAGAAGATTTTAAGAGGTCCTAATCTAAAAGAAAAGAAAGCAAGTGGCACTGGCTAATCTTTTTGAGAAGAAGCCTTAGGTTACACATAAAAAATTAAAAAAAAAATGATGTCTAAGTTCTTTCCTAATTAATAAAACTTAAAAATTTTATTAACGGAATTTGTAAAAACTATATTTTAAAAAAATTAACTGACTTTAAAATATTTGATTGAGAATTAATTAACTTAAAATTTATTTTTAGTTAATGAAAATATTTCACTTTCATTGGATTAATTGCTTTAAGATCTGCTTAGGCTCAAAAAGAAGGAAATTAAAGAAAAGTAAGGTTATTAGAAATTAATGAAATATAAGCTTGAGATGATATCATATATTCTTTATGTATTATATAATCTTTTTATAGAATCAGAAAGTCCATATGTGTGCTACAACAAACATTCAAATAAGTCTGCTTAAATATTAGATTACTTGATGATAAATAATATGTAAATTTGCGGAAATTGATATAAATTAAATTTGTGATTTTTTTTCTACGTAATTTCCACTTTTTATTTCCATATTACGATGATTTTATGCTTATGGAAGGTATTTTTGTGATGTTTACTAGATTACAGGTGTCGAGCACGTGTTGGGAAGCCAATATGTGAAGTTGGATAATAGAAGAGTCTCGCGTACTAATGCCATCCGCTGGTGTAATTACATTGGTTAATTTGTCTTAAGATGTGAAGGAATGCACAAGTAAATCGAGAAGATGAAACAATCACACTACGCCTCATCGTAGCTCTACTGCCCTAAAACGTACCTGCGCCACATTCGAGAATACCTATGTTGAGATTCCACCAAGCACTATTTTTGCAAGGTTTTAGAGGCGGTTTGGGCAACATTATTTAAGCTAATTTATGGGATTAATTAAGACACTTCTTGGCTATTTGGATGCTATTCTTCTGAGGTCCAAGAGAGACATGGTAAACCATAGAGTTTTCTCCATTAGTTCTCTATAGGAGAAGATTTCTAGGGTATTTTTCTTAGAAATTTATGAGAGAGAGATTTGTGTGCACTTGTATGAGAGAGATGCACGGAGAACAGGTATTGTACGGAGAGGATTGCAGGGTATTGCAAGGAGATATTAGTTTGAGTGTGAGTTTTTTGTACCAATTTACGTCATTTTCTTAATATTTTTAATGGAAATCCCTATGTTTTTTTCTCTCATGCATAGTAGCTGATTCTCTTTTATACTCCTATGATGTAGGGCATATGTTAAATCAATATTTTGATTAATGAGTTTTTCCTGGATGTTTTTCCGTGCTTTGAATTTTATATGTTGATATTTTAACTTTTTTGTCATAGTTTGCTCTTGATCTGGCCAAGTAGGAAGTTAAAACATCATATGATCTAAGACTTCTAACCATTGACTAGAAGAACAAGTAGGCTAACACACACTCATGTAGTGGAATAAATATATTCCAATAAAAGAGTGCAACCTATATAAGAGACTAGATGATTCTTGAGAAACCTTGTATGGTTAAGTTCTCATAATTATAGTACGAGTTTCCAATACTTCTTATGACTTTGACATAGGTTAAATAAGATTTATCCATAGTTGTCAACAAAAACAGAGGAAACTTAAAAATATTGAATAATCATTAAACCGGTTCACAAGACTATGAACATTTCATTTTCGAATAACTCCAATGAAACATAATGTTGATTTAGATCGCAACATTAGGATTTTAAAACCTTTTACCTTTTGTAAATCTGAACCTTTAAATTAGACTTAACTGTGCATTAAACTAAAACTTAGCTTGTTACAAAAGTTGATAAATTTTTTCATGAGACTGATACGCGAACTTAAATTTCGTTTATTATCTTATAGGTCATACACTTGTGTGATTGACTTATTTCATTACAATAATTTGGGGCATTAATTTCTCACAAAAATAAAAAACTTTACTTGTCAATTAATTGAGACATACTAAACCATAATAGAAGGGCCAAAAAAATAAATGGTTAAATATTTTTTTTTTTTAAGAAATAGATTAAAATCCCGATCAAAGCGTTCATTCGTTTTAGCCTCGCTGATGGTGAGGTCCTCCTCACAATGGATTGCTCAAGCTTGTCGATTAATTTCATCATGGTCATCTTGACTTCAAAGTCCACCACCAAATAGCCTCAATTACTCGACATCTTCATCACTATTCTCCATATATGATATAATCTACTTGGTTGCTCGTCCTCCATCCTCACAACTTTTAGCACTCTTTATTATGAAGTGATGGTCTCGATGCCGGCCGGTGTGGCAGGGAAGGTGAAGTGGTTGGGTTTCTAGGTGATTACAGAGGAGAAGGCAGGAAAGATTGCTACTATGACTTAATTGTGTCTATGGAAGAAATGAGGCAAGTGCAATTTCCTTGTTATAGCAGGTAGTGGAATGCTGTGGTCAGCAGAAACAGCTCGTTGAGCCGCAGGCTCAGCATACCACTTGGCCTTCCCAACAGTACTGTTCTAGTATTCGCGAGTATACCCTAGAAGTTTCTTCCTAATTCCCATTAAAAGGAGCAAGGTTCCTTACGGATAAGCTCGTAATTAAATTGAACTTCAGAGGTATATTGTTTATTGCCTTGCGGCCGGCATCCGGAGCTATAAATTTGTCCTGGCGTTTCATATAACAGAGTTGAAAGTAAATTGCGTGCATACGCGTTTAAGGAATTTCTCAATCTCTGTCGTCTGTCGTCGTCGGTTTTTTGGTAATGGAGGCATTCTTCGAGGGTCAGTCCGGCAATTGGGGCTACGAATCGCTCAAGAATTTCCGGCAGATCTCCCCATCTGTGCAGAAGCACCTCAAACTGGTGAGTGCTTCGCTTGTTTATTTTCCAGCCATCATTAGGTTGTGGATTCTTTGTTTTCTTGATCTTTTAGGGTTTTGATTTTATGTTATGCTATCTGGTACATCTATAGCGTTTTCTATCTTCTGGTTATGATTCTTTTGGGGGAGTTCTTTTTTTGTTCTTAAGACGCTGATACCTTTTCGTCGATCCATTAGCGCTATAAGTTGAATTTCTGGGGTTTTTTTCTTTGAAGTTTTTTGGGTATTCTGTGCTGTACCAGCTGTACCTTTTGTTGGATGATCTTTTGTCTCTCATGCGTGGGTTTTTGGGGGGTCGGGGCTTCCTTGTTTTTATTTTTTTTATTTTTTTTATTTTTTTAATTTTATTTTTTGTTTATTGAATGATTGATGATTTCCCCATTGCTCTCTCCTCTCGCAGTCTGCGCTTCTTTTCTTAAATTCATTCATTGAGATCATGAGAATATTTGTTTGAGTCTTATCTTCAATGTTCTTCTTTCCAAAATGGTGCCGTGCTTTTGGTTTGCGTAGTCTGTGAACTTTAGACTGATTCTTCTGACTTTTTTTTTCGGCGAGGTATCCGCTTATGGTGTAATCTATGGATATATATATTTTTTTTTGCAGGTTTACTTGACACTATGCTCTGCTCTTGTCGCTTCTGCCGCCGGTGTTTATTTGCACATCTTGTTCAACGTCGGGGGTATCATAACCACGCTTGCATGTTTTGTTGGCATCATATTTGTTATGAACACCCCTCCCTCCGAAAATGTAATATTGTCATCTTGTAACTTTTTTGGATCTTGTTTCTATTTTTTTTTTATCATCTTTGATGTTCATTTCTGTTGATTTTTTTTTTGTCATTTTCTCTGAGCAGAGGAAGAGGCTTGGTTATTTGATGGCCGCATCCGTACTTGAGGGGGCATCTATTGGCCCTCTTTTTGAGGTTATTCTTGACTTTGATCCGAGGTAATGCCATATATCTATGAAAATTGTGAGGTTTATGATAATTTAATATTTTTTGGTAAACATTTAATGTATGTTTGGCACACTTTATCCATTAAAAACCTAGTAATTTTTGAGTTAGCAAAACAATTATAAGAAGCAATATATAACCAGAACTGTTGAAGCTTTTTGAATCTTTTGAGCATTAATGGAAGTCTCAATGTTTTTTTATTAAAAGAAGGTTAGGTTAAATGATTCAAGAGTCCTAGATACGAGATTATTAGGTTTGTAGTTGAGAAGCTTTTAGATTCTTATTCTTTCCCCTCATCTTGTTATAGTCTTGCTAATTCGCTATGGTTTATGATCTGGATGTCAAACTTAGTATTTTATTGAGAAATAGCCACCTAGAGCTAAGTTATTCGATTAGCTTTAGCCCCTCCTATGAATTTTAGTCTTAGTGATTGTCATATCTATTGTAAAATCCTTCTATAACATGCCTTGTAAGGATCACCTTTTTTTTTAATCTTTGTATTTTAACTTTGATTGCTTAAATTTTTTTAGATTATTTGCATTGATAACTAACTTGATTCTCATCTAAGAAGCAAGAGATAACCAGATTCCATTTTCATTAATTTTCTACAAATTTACTTAAAAAAGTGAACTTTATCTTTTTTCTATTGATTTTATTTCTATCTTTCTCTTAATTTAACTAAATTTGATCACATTGTTAGAAAATCTAATTGAACTTGTGTTTGATATGTTGAATCATATGTTTCTTATGACTTTCCTTCCACCTCCCTAGTGGATCTTGAGAATTCTCTTCGAGATTTGTTCTGTTTGTTACATGTGATAATCATGGCGCCTTCCTTAGCTCCCACATTTACTTATTATCATTCTACCTGGTGCAAACTGAAATTTTTTTTGTCAAACGAGCTTTGTGGAAGGCACACTTCAAGCACCTCAAAAATGGTGATTTAATATTGACTAATAGATGATGCAATTCAAGGTAATCTATATCCATGGAAGGCACTCTTT